CCAAACAACTTGACAAGTATTTGCATATCAAAAAATTTGCTTAATGAAAGGATGAAAAGTGGAATTAATGAGACTGACAATTAAGCATCAATCATCTTCCATTTTGTGCACTCATTGGCTGCAATAGTTTCAGCCTTAGTAGTGGGTTGAGACGTATAATTTTGCCCATCTAACCAAAGTTGCAGATTTGACGATCAAGAACTATATTTCGACCCATCCAATTTATCCACACTAAGCGGAGCAAGGATATAATTGGTAAAAATAATAGACTTGGATTTGGAGCAGTCGGAGTCCTATAAACATAAGATGTAGGAGAATCCATAATTACCCAAATAAAAAGAGAACAAAAATAATCAGAAATGTTTGATCACAAAACTAACCGGAACGAGTGAGATTTGTGCGTCACCAAAAATGATGTCGAAGCACCAAAACAAGACCAGATCCAGAATAGTCTCAGATAGAGGAGAAGAGCCTAACAGGTCGCCACTAGAAACGGTTCTCCATGCGCCTCCACGCACCGGTTAACTGAAAAGAGGCACTTCTCTTCCAAGCGCGCGTGCGTGATGGGATAGAGACAAAACTTGGACAGACAAGATCGTGCGGATGAGACGATCACAATAGTGGTCAATGGCGGACGTATGGCGGTCAACATTGGTTCTGATGGCCGTTCACGAATAGAAAGGTCCGGCAACGACGCATAGATGATCCAAGAAAAAGCGACATCCGAAAACTGACAAGGAGACAATATCCGAAAAGAAATTGAAAATTCGATGAACAGTGGGTTCACCAGAAAAGTGAAAAGGATCAAGGTCCCTCTCGTTATACTCTGATACCATGTTAAGTAACAAGAGACGAAATGAACATTGATGAATCAGTATATTGAATTGATACATGAGTGTACTAATATATAGAAACTCTAATGGGCTTAGCCCGGACCTAGCCTAGAAAATAAATATTTATAAATAATACAATTATTCTTTCCAATATGGCGCATTAATTTGGGCACAACTCACGAGAGCTTGCCGAGTGGCACTAAGGGTGGTCGTTTGTGTAATATACGATTTATTATTAAAAGCCAGTGATCATATTGATAATGACCTATGGTGATATTGGAATGGGCACAAATTTAAATTTGATTGGCTCTTACAATCGATCTTCTGATCAAGGCTCGTGCTTTGCAATGAACACCAACATTTTATGGGATTTCAAAGTCATTTTCATTTTTTTTTTAATTTCTTCTATTTATTTTTGTACGAATAATTTTATAATTTTGATTATTTTCTTTTTCGTTGTCTATTTAAGAGCTTTGTGAATCCTAGTTTATTTGGTTATTTTTTAGTGAATAAAGATATTATTGAGAGCCGTAACTATTATGAATCGTTGTTCCTTTTGTATACCTGAACTGGTTTGGAACCAACTATAAATCATAAATTGGTGTTGAACCATGAACTGTTCGTGAAAAATAATATCAGTTTGGTTTCTTGAGCCGAAATTGGTTTAAACATATTTGATTCTGTTTGGTTTAGCAAAAAAAGTTATTCTAATTGCAAAAGGTGTATATAAGAAATAAATTTTCTTTTATAGTATGAGAAACTTAAATTTTTAATGTTTAATAATAGAAATTTTATAACAAAATCAAAGGAAAAAGATGACAGTGAAATTAACAAAACAAAAGAGTGACCGGTAGAGGGAAACAAAAGTAATTGAGAGAAAAAAAAGTGGAAGAGAGGGAGAGAAAAAGGTTGTACAAAAAATAGAAGATTACTTACTAGATGAAAGTTACAAAATTTATGAAATTATAACCTTGGAAAAAATGTTTCGTATGCAACATAAGATAAAATTATTTTCAATAATTCTAAAAGATGTCATTTTGGGGGTTGGAAAAAATGCAGGGTATTTAAATAATTTTACTTTTCTTTTGTATCATGTAATTTTCTTAAAATACTTTGTATTTTTTTCATCAAGAGATAATTTTATTTCATATTGCAGGAGAAACATTAATCTCCATGACTTTATATTTGTTACCAAACGGTGATAACTCAGTTGGTGTACGAGAGCTGAGTAGGTGGAGGTAAGAACATGTGTTTGATCTTTCATAATATCACCTTTAGGAAGGGTTTATTTTAAAGTCTTAATTTTGAACCCGTCTTGAATCGAACTAGTCGTGAAATAATGAATCGATTAGAATATTTGAAAAAAAAACTTTATATTTGTTTGTTATAGAGTTAAGTAAAATGTTACACACTTCTCTCAAGAAAAATACAACATTTTTGCTAAAGTTAAAAAGAAATATAAATTTCTTAAGAGTGCCAAAGTAAAAATATGTATATGTATAAAAATACGTATATGTATAAAAATAAAAAAATTGTTTTAAAATTGGAGAGAAAACTAATTTATGAAACGTTACTGTAATTTAAAATTTAAAATTTAAAGATCAAATTATTTTAATTTTCAAATTTCAAAAGAGACCAACGTAATTTCTTTTCTTAACAATTCTAAATTAATAAATTAAATATTTTCCAGTCATTCTCCCACTCTCCCTCTAGATTTGTCAAGGTTACAGTTTATTTCTTACTCTCTTGATGATGGTTTTCGTATGATACCATATGGTGATTTGTATAATTGTATTAATATTTTAGTTTACGGTTTATAGTTAGCGATAATAAACGGAGAGAGAAAGTGGAAGAGGTGAAAGAAATAAAAATGAGCTGTGCCATTATTTGGAATAAATTTTCAGCACATTACATACACTGAAATTCAGTATATTTATTTGTTTATTTTATGACATGTGAATTAAAAAATATCATATCATCTAAAAAAAGATAATATTTTTTTTTTACATGTCATAAAATAAGTGAGAAATATATTGAATATTCGATATATCTAATGTACTAAAAATGTATTTCATTATTTGATGTGTTTGTTGGAAGGATGATAACTTCTCCTACATTTGTAGAAGTTTTTTTTTATCCCTTAGTGTCTGCTTGAATACACTTTAAAAATAAAATAAAAGTTAAACTGATTTTATTTTTTGAAATTATGATTTTTGACTCTTAAAAAAAAAATACAAAACGCTACTTTTTATTAAAAGTATTTTTTAAAAATTAATCCAAATACAAAATAATTATACCTTTTTAAAAAATTTATTCTGAAAAATAATGCATAATTTTTTTTAAAGCTGAACAGACGGATAGGCGGATTGCACGTCATTACTATTTTCTCAAGGTTTTTTTTTTCCAAAGAAAATTGATTCTTTTGTGTAAAAAAAAGTCTGACATAGTTACGTGGGAAAATTATAAATCTATAATAAATAAATTAATGGTTATAATTTAATAATTATTTATTTTAATATTTTTTTCTTTTATTATCGTTGACTATTTTGTATGATTATAATTTTTTACATGGCAACGTTTTTTTTTTTTATATATATAATGATCCATTTTGAATAGAGATTATTTTATTTAAATTTTTATAACAAGTTGAGTCTATAACAGGACAAAGTAAGCTATCTTTGGACAGGTAGTTAGTCATGAAATGAAAGAAAACAGAATCACTTATTGTATTTAATATTTTTACACAAAACTAGGCAAAACGACCTAATAAGTAGACCAAACTCAATCAAAATTAAATTTTCCAAACATAAACCGACCTAATAACCTATGAACCGAAAACTAAGGGGTCATGCTTAATTGCTTGTGTCCCGTGTAAGTGCGAAGTACTGCAACTTGCAGGTTAAGTCAATGCAAGTAACCGTGAAGAAACACTTTTTCATGCCTAGCCTGTACGCTACGGTCTATGGCCCTGGCCCACCCTAACAATGGTTGGACCGAATTCACAATAGTCAACTCCGAACCCCATTCCCATACTACGGACATGCCCTTTCTCTGACCTGATCGTGTATCTCACGCGCCAATTTTCTTTCTTTTTTCTCAAATTTCTTTGATTACTCATTTAAGTAATAAAAATAACAGTTTTTCTTATTAAGTTTTTAACAAAGCTGACTTGAATTTGTGATAACTAATTAAATTGGAATAATCCCATCTAAATTTATCACGTGTTTGGTGGTCATGCGCTCCGTTCTAATTCTTTATCATTTGTCACAAGTAAAGTAATCTCTATTGTTATCAAAAAAAAGAAAAAAGAAAGAAAGAAAGTAATCTCTATTAATACTGACTTAAAATGCAAATCAAAATTAAACTGAAACAATCTTGTATTATTATAATTATTATTATAATTTTTTGAGATTTTTGTAACGATTCATTAATTAATCTGATCAAATTAGTTATCTAGGATCATAAAAATGATAAAACTCTCTATCCAAAACTCATTCATGACATTGATTAAGAATCTATTTGACACCTCTCTTTTTAAAGTTAAAGCTAAAAAAAATCTTTAAAAATAAAATTACAAGTTTGATAATTATATAAACTTTTAGCTTAAAAATTATTTTTATTAAAAAAAGCACATATTTAAAAAAAAAAACTAATACAACTTAAAAAGGGTTCCTCCTAAATCTTTTTGATTTTTGATTTTGTTTTCATTATAAAAAGTTTTTATAAAAATAAAAAATTTTATAAAAATTTATTTAATCTAACTTTTACTTATAATAAAATAAAATAAAAACTCCCAACAATCACTAAATTGGAATAACCCCACTGCCAGCCAGTATGTTGTGCTTTTCGGTAAATTCGGTTCCAATTTATCACGTGTTTGGTGGTCACGCGCTCCATTTTAGTTCTTTATCATTTGTCACAACTCACAAGTAACCTCTATGAAATATCAATCTTCCATCATTACAATTCACAACTCTTTTTATGTTATCTCGTTGGCGCTTTAGACTTTTTTAACGCTCAAATTCTAATATTCAAATTGTCTTCTTCTTACCCTTTTGGAATTTTGCTTTTCCAACCCTTGTTTTTCTTCCCCCCCTACACTTACCACCTTAGTAGTAGTTATTTATAAACCTTACTATTTTATTTTCTGGTAGTCTCTGGTAGGAGTAGTAGTAGTAGTAGTAGTAGATGGCAGGGAGTTCAAATTCGAAGATTGAATTGTTGGTGTGGTTATCTCGAGTCATGGGTGGTCTTTGTTCGAGGTCCGAGGAGGAGGAAGATGACCGGATGTTTGTCAACGCCGCTGAGAAACGTGGCGGCAACAACGGTGGTGATTTCACGACGGCGCCTCAGGTACGAGGAAGAATGGAGAGGAATGTGGAAGTGGAAGAAGAACCTTCTGGAACCAGTACTGCTACTGCTACGAATAGGAACGAAGAGTTCTACGATGGAATCCCAGTCTTTGGAAATGATTCTTGTCCCCACAAGTCTAGGTCTAAGGTTGGTTTGTTCTTTTTGTAAACAATAACTCTTTTTCTGCTTGTGGATACTCTAAAAGTGAGTAAAGATTAATGTTGTTGCGATTTGAGTTTATAATGTTTGTAATTCCTGTAATAGCTTGTATAATTTGGAAATAGGGTTTGCAATTGGGATTTAGGGATTATTAGTTAGTAATTAGGAATTTTAGAATAGTGTTGTTTATTTTATTTATAGTTGTATTTACTATCCTAGTTTGTGTATACATGAGTCTTAAGATTAGGTTGGTTGTCCTAGTCAGTGATATACAAGGAAAGTTATTCATCTTGAGGGCTTTGGATGCCAACAGGCTTTGTTTCGGATATAGATCAAATCATGTGATTCTTCCTAATAGCTTAAACTTTAAGGAGAGTTAGTATTAAAGCTTTTATGATCAAGAGGTTAGGACCCATTCTACATAATTAAGATGAATTGTAGCACAAGGTTTAATGAGCTTGTGCATTGTCCAATAATGTCCATGCATGTGTGAGGAGGCATGTATAAGCCGTTCATTGCTTTCTATCTAATAAATTTATCTATTTCAGGTCTCAGAGGTGAGTTCACGCCTGGGCAGAGCTGGTACTATTGGGTTTGGGAAAGCAGTGGAGGTTTTGGACACTCTTGGGAGCAGCATGACGAATTTAAATGCTGGCAGTGGATTTGTTTCTGGAGCTGCTATAAAGGGGAATGAAATTTCTATATTAGCTTTTGAGGTTGCAAACACAATTGTCAAAGGTTTTAATCTTCTGCAATCTCTTTCCACGAAAAGCATTAGGCATTTAAAAGAAGAGGTGCTTCTTTCAAACGCTGTGCAAGATTTAGTATCAAAGGAAATGGATGAACTTCTCAGTATTGTTGCTGCAGACAAGAGGTAAGTATTGGATTAAATCGCATTACTTAAGAGTAGCTAATGTTCCATCAGTAAGCTAACTTCATATTGTTTTGCATTACCATGACTCTATAATATTAAAATGTCAACTGTATATGATTTTGAATTATGTTATCAGGAGGGAGTTGAAAGTTTTTTCTGACGAGGTGATTCGTTTTGGAAATCGTTCAAAGGATCCTCAGTGGCACAACTTAGACCGTTACTTTGAGAAGTAATATAAATTGTACTCACTCAATTCGTGTAGCGTTTCATTCATCTTCAAAAAAATATTTAGCGTTTCATCTATTTATTATGAGCGTCTTTCTTGTCGTAAAATTTAGGATTAACAGAGAATTAAATGCTCAAAGACTGTCAAGAGATGAGGCAGAATCAATAATGCAACAATTGATGACTTTGGTTCAGTTTACAGCTGTGAGTGTATTCCTCATTTTGCTAAAGAAAATACTTAATGCTGCTCATGGACTGATATTTACTTTTGAATCTGAAAATATAAGGAAATCAGAAAGAAAAAAAAAATTATTGGTAAAAGTATTTGCAATATAAGAACAATTAACTCAAGTGGTTAACTAAATTTATAAATAATTATTCATTATACCACTCTTTCAATATGGTTAACCAGATGAGTGATTTATTGTTCCCAAATAAGGAATATTTTTCCAAGATTCCTTTATTGTAATTTTCCCAAACACGTATTACAAGAGAAATTGATTGAAGGGTTTTGGACTGGTTACTTTATATTTCTATATTACATATCCATTGCAAAGAGAGTTTTCTTTTTTCTCCATCTCATTCTCTATGTCCTAATTGATACCTTTTATATGTATCATGATTTATGCTGCAAGATAAATGGGGAATTTCTGAATTCAACTACTTTAGCTTCGTAGTAATCCGTGGGTACTTTTAACTACTTATTTTGATTTCTATCATCAGCCTAGAATATAACTTGTATTCATGTAAACCTGACATTGAATATGTATCAAAATTTTATGACACGTTTTGAAATGAAACCAATATGCCAATATGATGGTTAGGTGTACTTTCCTCTTGGTTAGATTTAATCATTATTCATTTTTATGTACGAATTGCTTGTTATTGAAGGATTGGACTATCATAAATAAATATGGTAATATCGTATACACTTATTTATAAATTGATAGTGTATTAAGTAACCTGAGGTGTAAGGAATCCTTTTATTGTACCTTTTGCAGTGTCAGCTCATCTGTACTTGCTCCCGTTTTGGGCTACTTTATCTTCTTGGTTTTCTATTAACTCTCCTTGGCTGCAACTAATTGCTTTATTAAGTCTCACTATACAGTGATTTTGTTCCTTCATGCATTTGCTTTTTTATTCAACATAGTATTTTTATATGGGATTTATTTGTAAAAGAAACTGGAAAATTGATTTTCTCTGGCTGCAGGAATTGTACCATGAATTACATGCTTTGGATAGATTTGAACAAGATATTCAGCATAAGTGTGAAGAGGAGGATCAAAGAGGTAATTGTGGAGTATCACCCATGACATAAGATGCAACACTAAAGTTTTGTTTGTGAGTAGCAATTCTTAACCTAAGCCAAAACTCTTAAAGAGTTTTAATCAAAAGTGAAGATTAAATTTGTTATTGATTTTTTGTATTTAAATAGAATGATCATTTGGATGGTGATAAATGTGTGTGGAACTTGAGGTCAAGGCTTACATTGATCATGTAATTGGTTCTGAAATGTTGAAAAAGTGTACACTAGTATTAACTATTATTTTCACCAAGAACTGTGAAATGGATATAGGAACTAGATATCGATATTATGCTTCAGCTGTGTCCTACTTTTCCTTTACGATCTGCCTTTGGGTCTCATTGAAAGTCATCCCTATTAAAGTATAACAGAAGAGTCAGATCTTGGTTGCCAAAACACCTACTTTTGGTTTTCACTGATATTTTATTTTATTTTATTAGAGTCAGAACTACATATTCTTGTTGTGAATATAATTCTGAAGGCCTAAATGATTGTTTCCTCCTTTGAAGAAACAGACACTCTGACCCAGAAGTTTGACCTTGCAGTATATTTAGCAGTATTTGCTTATTTAGTCTCTCATAGATATACATTTGACCTTAAGTATCTCATCATATAGGTGATAGCCTTGCGTTCCTGAGGGCGGAAATTAAAACTCAAAGGAAGCAAATTAAACATTTAAAGAAAAAATCACTCTGGTCTAGAAGTTTGGAGGAGGTAACTTCAGATTGCTCCTTGATTTGTTTATCTCATCCCTCAGTATCCTCTTCCCTAGTTGTTTTATCCTCCATTAGACTGTCATTATATCTGATACACGTCTGATGCTGAAGAGATTATAGAGAATTGTTTTTTATTTATAGAGCTGTTTTCATTGTGTGCATAACATAAATGGAGAACTGAGAAAAGTTTAGTATAATTCATTATCTAATGGATTACAGGTTCTGGAGAAGCTTGTAGACATTGTCCATTTTTTGCATTTGGAGATAAGCAATGCTTTTGGCAGTGCAGGTATGTACCCGCTAAAGGCCATTAGATCATGCTTGCTTCACTTGATTTGTTATGCTGTTCTGGTGTCACTTAATGTTACAACTATCATTTCTGTTCAATGTGATGACTTACTTATAATGTTGTTCATCCCTGGGTACCTGCAGATGGCCACAAACCATTAATTGGACATACAAGCAATCACCAAAGGTTGGGCCCTGCTGGCCTTGCTTTGCATTATGCCAATATAGTGCTACAAATTGATACACTTGTAAGTTGATGTTCTTTATTGTATTTACTTCATTCCATGCCTGTTCCTTTTAGTGCCTTACCTTGGACAAGGTGAAAATATAATTGAGTTTCTAGAGTTTCTTCTCTTTTTGCTTTTAGTATTGAATTTCTTTTTTGTTACTTTTCTTTTACTTTCCTTCTATTACATTCAGATTTCATGTAATTGGATTAGACCTGTAAATTTAATTTTTTTAATCATTCATTTTTAAAGAGGGAAACCTAACCATGAATTGTTCTGTAGTGAAGCCAAGCAATTAATTTCTATAAATTTGGCTGCCATTGACATTACATGGTGCAATTTCTGTAGAAAATGCCATGTACTTTCAAGTTTCTAACACTAACTACCTTTCTGGTTGCTACTTGCTACACCGTCTCTGACTTGGCCTTGAAAGTGGATGATCCTACTTTTTTGAAGTGAATATTGGATGATCCTCTAAACTTAAAGATGTATAACATTTTCTAATGAAAGAATATTGCCCTAATCTTGTGACTGTGCACCCAATATGAAGGTATCAATGTCTTAAGGTCATTATGTTTGTAAATGTTAGACTGGGGTATAAATTGTTGATATTTCTTTTTGTAATGTTGACCGTGTTATATAGCTGTTGTAGACATTTGTGGAGGTTGTTATGACTTATTATTTTGAAAGAAATGTTCTCTAGAACTGTTGATATAATATGGTAGTATATTTCTCATGCATGTTGCAACTAAACCAAAGAAAAAATCTGGCATTTTCTTAGTTAATTTATTATCAACTATATTTGCTGCCTTCTACCTTTATTTTTACCATGGAAAAGCCATTTGTTGTTCCTTTTTTCCTTGTTTCTTAAGATTCAAACTTCTAAATCGGAAGTTAGCTAATGCTTGGGAAAATATCAAATTCTATTTCTTTTTTGGTTTTGAACTATTTCTCGGTTGTAGTTGAACTTCCTAATCTGACAAAGCATCAAACATATACCTTCAATTTTCAATGGATAGCACATTCTAGTCACTGGATACCATAGCCTGATCCAAAATGAAATGAAAATGAGTTCCTATAAAACAGTTTTAGTGATAGAAATATACATTCCTAAGAAAAAACTAACAGCTTGGTGCACTCACATGATCTCTCATTCACCAAGTGTGGTCCTATATGTTAATCTCTTGATGATGCTCCACCTGCGTGCATGAACTGCATGTGTCATTAAAGGATTGAAATGCTCTTGGCAGGCCCACATTTATTTTTTCATAACTAGGTTTGCTGCAGACAGTACGCTTACAACTAACGTAAGAGGGATCTAGGCATCTGTATATTTAATTCAGGACTCTTGTGCTTTTATCAGGCTACACATTTATGCTTGAATGTGTGATAATTGGGATATCATTTGTTTACTGCTGATTTTTTGTGTACGTTCCTTGTCTGCGTAAGGGTGTAGTTGTACTAATTCATAGCTCAAATTTCTCCTAGCATTAAGAGCATTGTACTAAGTCTGTGCTGATGCTGTCAGGTAGCCAGATCCAGTTTTATGCCTGCAAATACAAGGGATGCATTATATCAAAGCTTGCCTCCTAATATTATATCAGCTCTGCGTTCCAAATTACCTTCCTTTCATGTTGAAGAAGAGGTATGACTATCTGCTAATACTTTTCTATTATTTCCGCTTAAAAAAATAAAGGTCTGGAAAATTTAGAATATAGATAGAAAGGCTTTAGATTAATCACACTTTGCCTCTAGTCGCAACTGATGGGAAGAATGTATCAATTTTAAAATAGTTAATCTATTAATCAATATGCTACTACACTTGCTAGTTGAGGTGTAAGTTAGGGTATTTTCCTTTTCCTATTAATCAATAACTCCTCAATTAACCTCCTCGTCAGCATCAATTAGTCATCCGTAGTAACCAGTCCTCAATTAATGCCCTTGATTTCATTAACCATTACTTCCTTCACCCATAAGACTTGCGTTCTTACTTTCCTACATGGTTAACATGCAAATGCCATACATAATTAGCATGCTGAGGAAAATGCTTAGCAAATTTTGAAATCAACTTTATTGTGCTTTCAGTTTTCCGCTTCCAACCAACGAAGAAAATCTTCTAAATTACATTTTGTTTTTGTTTTTTTTGCTCTTTCCTCATGGTTGCTGACTGACTCCTGCAGCTAATTGTAGCAGATATCAAAGATGAGATGGAGAAAACATTACATTGGTTGGTCCCGATTGCCACAAACACATCCAAGTAAGATGTCTGGCTTTTTGTCAACTAGCTCCTTACTACCCACGTGAAAAGCTTTCTTTAATTATCAGTTTATTTACTTTATATATAAGCTAACTCTAGTCCTTTTGGCTTTTTCTTTTCATTTTTTTAAATTTGATTCAGAGCGCATCATGGTTTTGGATGGGTAGGGGAGTGGGCAAACACTGGGTAAGTAGCAAAGTCTCTGCTACTCTATTTCGAATTAGAAACTTGTATGTTTTTCCACACTGTATTTTTAGTGCTTTTAATCCTTTCTGATTGTAAATACTTTCTTGGTTCTTGAAGCTCTGAGCTGAATAGGAAGACTTTCCAGTCTGGGGTCATGCGGATAGAGACATTCCACCATGCAGATAAAGACAAAGTAGAAAATTATATTCTTGAACTTCTCTTATGGCTTCACCGCTTGGCCATAAAAAATAAGGCTGGCAGTGATGCTGACAAAGTGAGGTCTGCCATCAAGTGTCCTATTGGCACTACCTTGCAAAAGACAAATAAGCAATCTGCAAATGCCCAATTACCATTGTTGACATTTGATGAGCAAAACATGCTTCAGGATGCAAGTAAGAAAAAAAATATTAGAGGGATCAGTAAAAGCTTGGACTTTGACAATGCGAAGACTAGATTGAGGGAGAACAGCAGACTGACCAAGAGTTACAGTCATTCATCAACTAAAAGCAAGGAAGTATCTTTTAACAGGATTTTGTCTAAGCTTCCTGTGATTGATTTTGATATTGACAAAGAAAGAGCACTGAACGTGATCGACAGACTAGATGTGATCAGATAATTTGCAAGTTCTCTTGATTGCCTTTGAAATTAATGGAAAGGAGTAATAATACATGTGGGCATAAGAGTGGGATATTCTTTCTGAAAGTGTTGAATGCCATATTTTTGCACCACCTTTGGCACCCTGGATTCCCTTAGCTTCATTAGGTTGCTTTGTTTCGTTGAAGTTCCACATGGTATGTAGATATCATCTTTGTATGGGCACCCAGGTAATTGCTGTGACTACATAGGCATTCATGATTGTATCTATGTGACTGCAGTGCCTACATAGTGCTGTAGGGGTAGACTCTGGTTTCATTCTCGAGAGTGTATATACTATACGAGGAAATGAGGATATAGTGCCCATCGTTTTGCACAGCATTTATTTGTGGGTTTGGTTGCCCATGCTCACTGCGGAATCTAGAAACCTTTTCTGAAATGTAGTTCCTTTTGTGATAGATTCTGGACCATATCAATGTTAACGTAAATTCCTTGATTCACGTCGTGTAACGATAAGAACTTGATGCCATACGTGAGTTATGCTGTCAATTTAACAAACTTGGTTGCAGATTTTGTTTAAAAATGAACCATCTCAAGAGTGATTTTTTTAAAATGTTAATATTATGTTTGTAGATTGAAGGTAATTGCCGAATGGAAAGTAATTAGGCAAATAATTATGTTATTGTTTACTAACGATGTTTACATAAAATTGTCTTAGTATACGTGGGATATGAGATGAACTAATTGACAAATTTAGCAAATAATATTTGTGTGTGTATATATATATATATCGTTACCTTTACTATTTTAGTTACTAATGCTGTAAAGATTAAGCGATTAAATTAATTTCATAATTATTTGAGCTTGTGTGTCTTGAAAGCTTAAAAGAGGTGATAATTTGAAATATAACAAATTATGATTAAATTCAAGTCCAAATGAAGTAGCAGATGTTATTGTGATTTGTTTGGTAAGAAAAGAAAAGTAACATATTTAGCATGATTTGAAATCTAAGATTTGGGACATGTTTTGAATTATTTGATGGTAATTATGTATTTAATTTTAGAAGTTAATTACCATTATATTTATTTTAGGAATTTTTCTTATTTTTAGGATTTTGGATTTTGAATTAATTTATAATTAGTCTATAAAAAGGTGCTCATGACCCTTATTGTTATTATTTTGATAATATAATTGAGAATTGAAGGGTTGCTTTTTATCGTATCTCAACGCTCTGTTTAGTCATTTTTCTATGCGCTTTCGGCATCATTGGTATCAGAGTATTAGGTTGCCTTCAACCAATGGCTGAACAGAATCATAGAGGTCGTGGATGGCGGAGTTGTGAGGGTAGGGGATGTGGATTCGTTCTTGAAGAAGATAGACAACATACATATAAAATGAAGAGTTCGTAAGGAAAATCCTAGATTTGAAGCGACAACTTGAGCAGGCGTTGGATAAGAAAATCCAAGTTTTGGAGTGACTGCTTGTGCGGGCTCAGAGCAAGAAAATGATTTGGAGCGATGACTCGTGCAGACGCATAGCGTGAAAATCCAAATTTTGGAGCGACAACTTGTGGAGGCGCAAAGCATGAAAATCCAAAATTTAAAGCAGTGACTTGCGAGAACAAAGTTGGGCATTCAATTTGAAAAAAGAATGGAATTAGAGGACACATCTGATGATGAAGAGGAGCACGTCAATCTCCTCGAGATTCCAAACCAAGGTCAGAATTGGGAAGTACGACTCGAAAATCAGTCAACTTTTCAAGATATCGAGATACAAATCGACATTCATGACTTTGCTGTATATGATCATAAAACAGTTTATGATGATTATCCCATTTAGTATGATTATCTATCTTATGAAGCAAATTCAGTTTATGATATATTTCAGTCTATTACAAATCTAATAGAGAATCTGATAATGAAGATCTAATAGAGAAAAAATTATCAATTGAGTTTTTACTTAAAGATATTAGTATCATTGAAGATGAAAAAGATTCAAGGATGAATCTTTTCCTAGCATGGGAGAATGATGCACTTACAGTTAACTCATTGCATATGGCTCAACTATTGATTCAAAAAGCTTAGAGTCAACCACAATTGTGACCCAATAAATATAACCCAATTATTAAAAGAAACAGTAATTTAAAATATAATAAATTGCGGACAAATTCAAGTTCAAATAAAGCAGCATATTTGATTGTGATTTATTTGGCAAAAAAATGAAAGCAACACATTTGGCATGATTTGAGATATAAGTTTGGGACATGTTTTGACTGATTTTAATTTTAATCATTTATTTATTTTTAGAAGTTAATTATCGTTATATTTATTTTAGGATTTTAGATTTTGAATTTTCGATCAATTTATAATTAGTTTATAAAATGGTGCTTAAGATCCGAATTAAGTAGGAAGATATTCCTAAGACTGCTTTCCGATCTAGATACGTACATTATGAGTACCAGTACCGTTTGAACTCACTAATGCTCCGACTGTGTTTATGGATTACATGAATCGCATATTTAAGCCATTTCTGGATTAATTCGTGATCGTGTTTATTGATGATATCCTGGTATATTCTAAGAGTAGAGAAGAGCATGCAGATCATTTGAGAACTGTGTTGCAAATTCTTAGAGAGAAATAGTTGTATGCAAAGCCTTCAAAATGTGGATTTTGGCTTTCTCAAGTGAAATTCTTGGGTCACGTCATTTCCGCTGATGGAGTGGTGGTTGATCCTAGCAAGATAGAGGCGATTATTGATTGTGAGAGACCCAAGACCGTAACTGAAGCAAAGAGTTTTCTGAGATTGGCCAGTTATTATCGGAGATTTATCAAAGGGTTTTCTACACTGGTTCTTCCATTGACCCGTTTTACTCGGAAGGATGCTCCATTTATTTGGACTCATGAATGCGAGGAATGTTTCCAGAATCTTAAGAAGAAATTGACGATAGCTCCAGTGTTAGTACTTCCTGATCTGGAAGGTGAATTTGAATTATAAACCGATGCTTTGAAGAGAGGATTGGGTGGTGTGTTGATGCAAGATAAGCGAGTAGTGGCATATGCATCGAGGCAGCTGAAATCGCATGATGAAAATTATCTGACCCACGACTTGGAGCTTGTTGCGATCGTTTTTAGGTTGAAACAATGGAGGCATTTATTGTATGGAATGAAGTTTGTCGTATTTAGTGATCACAAGAGCTTGAAGTACTTGTTTGATAAAAAAGAATTGAATATGAGACAACGACGGTGGACTGAGTTCTTAAAGGACTACGACTTTGAATTGAAGTATCATCCCGGCAAGGCTAATGTTGTAGCTGACGCATTGAGCCAAAAATCTGTGAGCGTAGTCAGTATGATGATGAGAGATTATGATGTGAATGAGAGGTTCAGAGATATTAAATTATCAGAAGTTTTTGCAGGTACAATTTGTGATATCAAAATTACAAGAATCGAAAATGATTTGCTGACCAGAATTAAAGAAGCGCAACTGCAGAATGAAAATGTTAAATGATTTAAAGGTCAGAGTGGTGTATCCTGGAATGAGCATGGTATACTATTATATCAGCCATCAGGGCCGTATTGTTGTGCCTAGGCAGTTGGCGGAGAAAGTTATGACAGAGGCCCACAATGGTTAATTCACTGTCCATCCAGAAGCTACAAAGGTGTATCAGGACCTAAAGATTAAATTTTGGTGGCCTGGTATGAAGAAAAACATTGTCGAATTTGTCTCTAAGTGTCTTGTTTGTTAGAAGGTCAAAATTGAACATCAAAAGCCTAATGGTATGTTACAACCTCTGGGTATTCCTGAATGGAAATGGGAGAGTATCTCCATGGATTTTGTAGTGGGATTACCGCGAACACAGGCGAGTTATGATTCTATATAGGTAATTGTGGATAGATTTACAAAGTCCACACACTTTTTTCCAGTACGGATAGATTTCTCTCCTGAGAGATTGGCTAGGCTCTATGTGAAGGAGATTGTGAGGCTTCATGGGGTGCCTGAGAGCATTGTTAGTGATCAACACCCGAAGTTCACTTCTCGCTTATAGGGAGCATTACAGGAGGCTCTTGGCACTCAGTTGAGACTGAGCACTGCCTATCATCAACAGACGGATGGTCATACTGAGAGGACTATTCAAACGTTGAAGGATATGCTGAGGGCTTGCACCTTGGAGCAGTGTACTGCATGGTACAAATATCTCTCGCTGGTTAAGTTCTCATATAATAATAGTTTCCATGCTAGTATGGGTATGGCTCCCTACGAGGCCTTTTATTGTCGCAGGTGTAGGACACCTACTTGCTGGTCAGAGGTTGGAGACACAGAATGATTTGGATTGGATTTTGTTCATGAGACTACTGAGCAGGTGAAAATGATTAGGGATCGTATGAAAAAGGCTCAAGATCGTCAAAAGAGTTATTATGATCTCAAGCATCGGCCTCTGGAGTTTGAAGAGGGAGATCATATGTTCGTAAAGTTGTCGCCTGTTACGGGTGTTGGACGAGCCCTTGGAGTGAGGAAGCTGAGTCCAAGATTTTATTAGACCCTACCAGATTCTATGTAGGGTAGGACTGGTTGCCTACCAGCTTGCCTTGCCTCCTTAGTTGTCAAATTTACACGTTGTATTCCATGTTTCTCAGCTGAGGAAGTATGTAGCTGATCCTTCTCATGTGGTTCAACCTGATGACGTTGAGATTTGGGATAATTTGAAAACTCCTGTTGGGCCACTGAAGATACTCGAAAGAGATAAGAAGAGGATGAGAAATAAGTCTATTCCTATGGTGAAAGTCCAATCGAAAGGAAGGACACCTGAAGAGTCCACTTGGGAGCGGGAGGATGAACTTCTCCAGCAATATCATGAGTTTAAGAACATGTATGTTCTTGATTTTGCGGACAAAGTCGCTAAAAGGTGGGGTGATTATAATATTCCTCACCATAGTATTTAATTAATTGCATGAAATTAGGCAATTAATATCATATTAGTGGGTTGAATTAGGTAAAATATCTAATTAAATGAATTAGGGTCACTTTTGAGGTAAAAAGTGTAGTCAGTGAGAATTAAGCGGTAAGAATGTGTGTAGGCAAAATTATCCAAAAGGTATAGGTAAAGTTAAAAATATTACTAGAAAAGTATTTCAGACCGTTAGGTAAAGTGTGAAAGTGAATGGAGGTGAATAGATAGATAAGTCGTTACCAGTTGAATTTCACTTAACCTATGTAAGTGTAAAATAAGACCCTCTTTCACATTTCTTCTTCTTCTTCTACGTGAGACCAAGGGAAAGGGAGGAAAGAACCATTTGGAGCCATAAACCCTAACTTTCCTATTTCTCATCCAAATCAACGCATCCCAAAGCCTAAATCACTTAGAATGTTCCCCTATTTGTGAATCCAAGCTTGGTTTTGAGTGGAAAGCATTGTGGAGTGAGATTTCTTCTTCCCAAAATTTTGCCCATTTGAAGATTGGAAGGGTTTGGGAGCATTTCACTCCTGGGGGACTTAAGGAACACTCACTCCTTGGTTGTGTGACCATA